AGTATACCGTGTTGATATAGAGTATTATAATGTTAGACAAAATTAAAGATTATTCAATTTTATACAAATTCACCCTATATTTTATTTTACTTAAGACCAAGCATTTAAAAGTTACAAAAATTGTAATAAGTAAATGCACAAGAGAGTAGGTCATCTATGAAAGAACCTGGATCCCAGATTATTATTTGATTTTGATTGAGATTTTGAAGTACGCCGAGTTGCTGTAAGGTCTTTTAGTATTAGACAAAATTATGAATGTAGGTCATCTTACTGTTAGACAAAATTATAAACATATTAGATATATTAAATAAATGAAATAGATATATTAAACAAATGCGCACTCACAGAACTCCTATCAATTTTGTACTTCTGTTTAATTATTTAAAGTACACAGAATTGCTGTGATGCCAGCACACAATAAACCTGCCTTTGTGTAATAATACCCCGTATATTATTACAAATTTCAATAAATTATTCAAATTATTCACAACGATCAATATTAATGTAATTTCAAAACATGCAGCAGGTCAATTCATATTAATAATCTATATATCGATCATTATTCATAGAGGCAATGTAGGTCCTCTCTGACTCTAACAATGTAAAATATGAAATATTATTAATATTGTTATTGTATCGATGATGCAACTCGGTAATCAGTTGTTGTTGCTGTTGTTATTGTTGTTGTTGTTATTGTCGTTGATCCAAACAATTGGGATTTCATGTAAATGAGAAGGATTTCTCGCCGATTTCGATAGCGAATGTATCATATGTTTGTCACAATAATAGGTGGAATATGGTAATATTTGTAATAAATTTATTTGCTCATTCAAACTTGTATGCGCGTATTGATCGAAATAATTTTGAATTCGTAAAATTGCAAATTTGTTGATTTTATGCTTACAAGTGGTTTATGCATTTTTTTCTGTCTAATATAATTAAGATATTTGGAAAATTTGTGCAGAATTAAATAGTTCATAATATTGTCCAACACTAAAATAAACTAGGGCAACTCGGTATACTTCAAAGTTATAATCAAAAACAAGAAATTTATCTGAAATAGTTGAATATGCATTTGTTTAACCCGGCGCCAATGACGCGAAAAAAATTGCAAGAACGATGACGTTGGGTCATTTTGACCCGACGTTTTATTGAGGATTTATAATAAAAAATATATACTTTTACTAAATTGTAATTAATGTTTACTAAATAAAGGTATTTTCTGCATAAAAATAAATAAAATAAAACTAATATATAATAATTAAACTTTTATTGACATACTTAACAAGACATGCAAAATCAACTTTGAACAAACAACATATGTTAATTATAAGTTTTGGTTTAAGTAATGTTAATAATCATTGGTAACAAACATCTTATAATACTAAAAAAGAGATCAAATTAAGTTATTTTTAATTATAAATGCCAATCAGTCTTCTATTTCCTCATTTACTGACATCGAACTACTACAATTATTGCAGTAGGTAATAAAATGATCAGGGCATATATAAATTTGACATTCATGACAGGTATGACTTGTCTTCTTATCTTTTTTGGACGGACATATTTGGCATCTCTTGCGAACGCCTAGAATCTTTCGAGGTGGTTCATCTGTGGTTTCACCTGTGAATTGTGCGATTCTTTTGCGCAGTTGACGTGGTAAATTCACTCGAGCTCGTCGCACTTGTAAATGTTCCTGCACCATGGCGAGTCCCAGATTTTTTAGGAAATGTCTTCTTTTCATGCGTGTATCATCATTATTAGCCCGGTATATTATGTTTGCGTTTATTTCCGATATATTTAGCATTGCAAAAAAGATAGTCAATGGCCATCGTTTTGTGTTTCTACTCACGTTGTATGACGCAGAAAGATTGTCCACTACATCCACTCCACTCTTGGTGTGATTGTAAAAGGATATGATGTCTGGTTTCCTTTTGTCACCTGTAGACTCATCAATTTTTTCGTCATGATGTAGACTGGACATCAATAAGACAACTTTATTTTTCTTTGGAATGTAGGAGACTAGAGTTATGTCCTTTTGATGTCCAAAGGTAGATGATCCTGGACATTTTCCACGTGTTGTAATGAATTGAGGTGGAATCTGCCGTTTGTTTTTGCGTAAGGTTCCAACTGCTGTAAGTTTATGTTCCGTTAGGAGGTGAGATACTAATTCATAACTCGTGAACCAATTGTCGAATGTTATGTTACGATGGCTTTTAGAAACGGGCAAGACGACGCGATTTACAACGTCAAAAGGTTTGTTGCTGAGTGAGTATGGGCCACTTGGCTGCTTTCCGCTATATATTTCTAAATTGGTCACATAATATGTTGATGCATCTACTAAGGCAAATATTTTAATTCCGTATTTGGCAGGTTTAGATGGAATATACTGCCGGAATTTGCAACGTCCTCGAAATGCAACCAACATCTCATCAATGGTGCAGTTTTCGCCTGGCGAATACATTTTTTGACACTGCTGTACAAACATCTCGAAAATATTCCTTATCGGCGCTAAATTATCGAATTGTTGTCTTTCAGCACGTGTAGATTTGTCATCAAAACGTAGGCAGCTTTGTATAAAGTAAAATCGCTGGATTGACATGGTGAGCCTGAAGATTTCTACGCCTGTACCATCTACTTGCCATAAATCACTCAAATTTTGTTTGTTTGAACGGTAAAATCCGGCAATATATAGAAGGCCTATGAATGCTTTCAGTTCACTAATTTCTATTTCTTCCATATATCTATGTTTGCTCAAATCGGCACACAATGCTCTCCTCTCTTGAATGTGTAAATTAGTACAGGTTTGAATCGTATTCAATATATCATCCGTTATGAATAAGCTCCAGGACTCAAATATAGTTTTTGCATTACGAGCAACGGATCTAACACCAGGTAAATCGGATATAATATTTTCTGATCTGGTACGTACGTTTGATCGTGCTGGTGTTTTTTGCCACAAAGTTCCATCTCTTCCTTTGAACACATGCCGATTTTGTTGACTTTGTAATCTCAAAAGGTCCAAATTGCTTGATGAATCAGAGTCCGCATCAGAATCACTAACTTGTTGTTCGGTGCCGCTATCGTTACTTCGTTCCGATAAATGGTCTTCAACCTCGGCGTCCGAAGTAGAATTTGATTGGTCTTCATCTGACTCTTCCAATATTTCCAATATTCTCCGCGGATCATTTGTCAGTGCCATTTTCTTCAAAAACCTATTAAAGAACACAAAAAATAAATATAAAATCACTAAATAGAAAATAAAAGTATGTCACGAAAATATTACATTTACAATGACGCTGGGTCAAACATACCCGATTGGACTTGACGCACGAGTTGCTCGTTGCGCGGGCGGCGTCGCACTGAGCGAACCATCGGGCGGGTAGCGGGGAGGCATCGCTTCAGCTACTCAAACGCTTAAACCACATAACCCGGGTAAACAAAATATATGTTCGTTAAAAAACGTCTCGGGTCATTATGACCCAGCGTCATTGGCACCGGGTTAAAGTATCTCTTGTAACTTCCGAAATATTCGTCTAATAAAATTAAAATATTTGGAAGATTTGTGCAAAATTGAATACCTTATAATATTGTCTAACACTAAAATGACCTACAGCAACTCGATATACCTTAAAATCACAGTTGAATATAGACTAATAAATAATACAATATACATTGCAGATGGACTTCTTTACTACACTGTGTATTTTTTTGCACTGATGATGACACAAATAAAGGTTCGAAACGTTCGCAAGATTCACAAAAAAATATTCTGTAATAATTTATTATTAATTTCATCATTTTTTCTTAAAAATGTTGTAATTATTATTGTTATTTGTTATTTTTTGTTTGTTTTATTTTGTTTCTATGCTCTGAAGATGGGTCAAATAAGGGTCCGAAACGTCTTGAACATTTACTAAAAAAATTAAAAATATTTTTTTAACAAAATATGTATTTCATTTCATGAACACTATTGCTGTAATTATCGTATGATAATTGTTTTTTGTATATTTTTGTATATTTAAACACTGAAGATGAACCAAGAAAGTAGTCGAAACGTCTGATAGATTTAAAAAAACAGTTATTTATTTACTTGTATATTTATTATTATATAATATATAATTACAGATATATAAGTATTCTATTATATTTATATACTTATATATTATGTACTTTATAACGCATTTAGGCACTGAAGATGGCTCAAATAAGGGTTCGAAACGTCTGCAAAATTACCAAAAAATTTAAAATTGGATATAAACTTATTTTTTATATTTACTATTATATATGTATTTTATTATAATATATACTAATGTATTATGTATTCTATTAAGTTTTTCAGCACTGATGATGGAACAAATTGGGATTCGAAACGTCTGCAGAATTTTAACTACAGCTTTTTTGCTGTAGTTAACATTTTTTTGCTGTACTATTATATATGTATGCTATTTAAATATATTTAAATATTATGTTATGTACTTTATTATGTGTTAAGGCATTGATGATGGGTCAAATCGGGATCCAAAACGTCTGCAAAGTTTAAAAAACAGCTTAAAATTAGTTTTTTGGTAATACTTCTATAAATATATATATATATATATAAATGTATGTATGCTATTATAATATATACTATTATGTTGTGTACTCTATTATGTGGGCACTGAAGATGGGACAAATAAGGGTTCGAAACGTCTGCAACATTTAAAAAAAGCTTCAAACTTTTTTCTATCATACTTATATAAATGTATTTTATTTTTAATGTGTTCCTGAAATATTTGTACACTTTGTTCGTCTTCATTAACACACCTCATCTTTAATTACTCGTTTATTGTCTCTAATGATACTCTCTACAAAATTTATTTCTATATGCTACTATTTGTCTCTTACATTATATTTTATATTATATTGTGACACACATTATTCTTTTGTCTATTATATTATTATATTTTTATCACTGGTGATGGTAAATTAAAAAAATCGAAAAATTCTCTCCTCCACAGTACGAACTGCGATTGGCGGCCTCTGATAACCTCAAAGAAAACTACACGACAGTTGTAATTCACGTAAAAGACGTGAACGACAATCCTCCTGTTTTCGAAAGACCTACATACAGGACACAAATCACTGAAGAAGACGACAGGAATTTACCGAAACGTGTCCTACAGGTTTAATAACTAATATATAATATATGTGTTGCATGTTAGATAAAAATTTAGAAATCCGGTGGAGCCACAAGAGGACAAAAATTTAATTTAATTTGTCTAAGTTCGTTTTTTGCCTGTTTTTTTAATTTTCGATTATTCGATTTGCCAGTACGAACTAACACTAGTGGCGTCCGATTCGCTGAATGAGAATTCGACTAAAGTAGTGCTGCATGTGAATGATGTTAACGATTTACCGCCCGTTTTCGATAGATCGATTTACGAGGAAACCGTTTGGGAAGAAATGCCTGGACCGAAACTGCATAGGCTGTTGAAGGTCGATTTTAAATAATTTTTTTGTGGTGAAGGGATTTTGACTAACCAAGTTTTACTAACAGAAATATATAGTAATTGATACTTTTTGTAAATTTATACGTTTTGTTTATAATACTCGTCGTCGTTAGACTTTAAATCTAAAAAAAAAATGTAGACATAGAAGAGCATTTTTTTTAGTTTTATAGCTGTAGCTCTTTACAGAATTTACTTAGAAGAACGTTGTTTTAGAATATTAAAAACTAGATAAAATTTTCTATAAAATGGCGTACTTAGAATTTTTGTAGGGATGTTATACGTATTTAAAATATAATTTTTTAAATACGTATATACTCAATAATCTATTAAAATTGCTTAACGTGTGACCGAAAAGCGCACAGAAGGTGCATTTACTTTATTTTATAGCTTTAGCTCTTTACGTAGAAGAAAGTTATGTTAGAACATTTAAAACTAGATGAAAATTATAAATTATAGTATAAATTGGCGTATTAAAAATATTTCTTATTGTATAATTTTCATAATCATTCAAAATTTACTTATATTTCTATAATAATGCGAAGTTGTGTGCGCATTTTTTTAGTTTTATAGCTTTACTTAGAAGAAAGTTGTCTGAGAGCATTTAAAACTAGATAAAATTTACTATAAAATATTGTATTTAAAATGCTTCTTACTGTATAATTTTCATAATTATTCAAAACATACTTATATTTCGATATTAATGCGCATTTATTATTATTTATTGCTACAAAATGGCGTACTTAAAATTTTTATAGAGATTTTATACGTATTTAAATTTTTTTCCCGAAAAGTGCATAGGAGGTGCATTGTGTATTTTATAGCTCTAGTTTTTTAAAAAAATTACATAGATGAAAGTTGTCTTAGTACATTTAAAACTAGATACAATTTTCGTAATATGGCGTACTTAGAAGTTTTATAAATTTACTAAAAAGATTTTAACAAGTTCTTTAAATTAGCTGGTTATGATTTTATATTATGTAGTATTCAACTTTTTTAGTTTTTTGAATGTTACTCTGTTTTTGTGTGTTTTAGTCATGGAATATGTAAAACTATATAAAATTATATATTACATTGCGAACTTATAAAATTATAAAGATGAATTTTTGTAATAATATTTTAAATTAAAATTACTACATTTGCAGTATCACCTTGAATTCATTTGGGTAAATTAAGAAATCACTATGCTTAAGATAGATCAATTTACTTATTTCAAATTTTTACGACATAAACGACTTTCTTCCTATACTTTGTTTAGTGGTGTATTTCTATTTATCCCAAAACAGTCTTTGGTTATCGTTAAACCAAATGTTATAATTAAAAGTTGCTCCAAGTTTTAATTAGCTCCCAGGAGGAGTCTTTGTCAACGACGACAGTGGCGCAACTGGCGGTAAAGGCGGTAACGACGATGGCGGTGGAGCAACGGGCGGTTTATTACAGACGGCGGTTTATTTTACTGGAGATCCTTTGAGAATGACTTTTTGATAACGTTAATTGCTCGAAAAGAGAAAAGGTACAGATTGTTTTTCGTCGTCGACGACGTCGTCCTCGCCTTTTGTTGTTTATTTCTTGAGGTTTAATCGCGGATCGGGATGCGGGAATTAATGGATAAATAGACTTATGCAAAGGCTTAAAAACTGTTTTTAAATATTATATAACACGAGAAATCACAATTACAGTTACAAAACTGTAACTACTGAATTTCAAAGTAACCCATTACCATATTCCCTTATAATTTCGTGGTACTAAAACGCTCTCTATCCCTGATGATGGCGCATCCGACGTACCGTAACGTATGCATCGCATCTCATAATAAATTTTAGCATAAAACTTTTAAGAGAACTCTTTGATGTTTTAGACGTGACGGAGGAAAACGTCACGTCGAAAATTCGGTTCGGGACGTAAAATGCTTTGGATTTAATATATATTCACGAGAGTTGTATAAAATGATCTAGGATTAATTTTAAGACATGATGGAATTTATTTATGGTAAAGGGAGTTGGTTTAGAAAAAAATGTGTTAGAAAGGCGACAACTAGATAAAATTTGCAAAAAATGGTGTAAAACAAATTGCACTAAACATATCGGTTTTTTATGACAAGTCCTCAAACATAGCTGATTTCGTATGTGTATTGAAAAAGCATGACGACTGATGAACGTAGACATTTTTTACGTTTGTGGATGCTACTTTTTTTGGGGATTAGAAAAAAAAATTGTGAGAAAAGTAAAAACTAGATAAAATCTTCTAATACTGTATATTTATATTTTTATAAAAGATCATGCCCTATTATTACAAGTTCTCAACCTTATCTAAACGTGCGTACAAAATTTGTATCGATAAAGATTAGTGTGTTTAATACTGCGCAAGGACATTTTTTCACGTTTATAACTTATATAATTTTTTTTTGAGTTGGTTTAGAAGAAAATAGTGTAAGAAGCATAGAAACTAGATAAAATTTACTAACAAATGGTATATTTTAAATTGTTGTAGTACGTTATGTACGAATATTACAAGTGCTCAAACATGTGCATATGAAATGTGTAACCAACTTTTGAAGCATGTGACTTCTGTATTTATATTACGCAAAGAGATTGTTTTACGTTTGTGGTTATAACTCTTTTTCGGGGTGGTTTAGAAAAAATAGTGTGAGAACCATAGAAACTAGATTAAATTTACTAATAATGGGTATTTTAAATTTTTATGGAAGGTCATGTGCGAATATTACAAACTCTCAAACATATCTGAATGCGCTAGATAAAATCGTCTAATATATGCCATTGTTTAAATTTCTACATAAGGTCTCTTGTGTGAATATTCTAAGAAGTCAAACATTCTGATGCATTTTTTTCCCGGTGTTAAAGTGTCTTTTTCTTTCGTCGCCGGTTGTTTTTATAATGCATTACATCAATGTTATTTTTCTTTAAAATCAATTTCTAATACTGTTCTCTATTTATTTCATCCATCTCGACGACAACAAATCCAAAAGCAATCTCATATCGAATCCATTAGTCCAATTAGATTACTACTGTGTGTACTTACTGAGAGAATTTAATCACATTTCACATTATGAAATACGCACAAATCTATACTACTAATAGTAGTAGTAAAAGATACATTATTAGTGCTATTTGATACAAAAAAATATTTTTTTCAAATACGAGTGTCGTGTAGCCTCAAATAAAAAACACAATATAAGCTCAATATAGTTTTCACCTATTTTTTCCCCAAGAAAAACTATTTCGTTTTTTGTGAACGAATTAGAGATTTTACTTCAAATATTTTTATTTAATAGTTTCTTTCTAATTTATGTCATTTGCAGCTATATTTCTAGCTGTTATAGCTTCTTCTTACATATGTGCGAAATATTTCACTATAAAACGATTATGGCATCGATGCCAAAATTGGTTTTTGTTCAAACAGGTTTTGGCTTCGATCCATGGATTGAAATTTATATATATATATATATATATATATATGCAATAAGTTAAATGTATCCGGAAGTAATATTGTATGCACCAGGAACGTTTTTCCTAGTGGAGCTTTTATGTCTATTTTAGAGAAAAAGCTCGCAAATGGTGCAAAATTATTTTGAAAAAAAAATATTTCTAAATCTATACAATAATTGAAATATATTGATGTTTTACTTCGTTTAAACACATTTTATCGAGATTTTTTTCAATGTGTACATCAAAGATATTTTAAGAATCTCCACCAAGATTTACTTGATCGTAGACGTGGAAAATAATTTTCTAATAATTATTTGACATCATTATATTTTCTCAAGATATATTTCTAGCAATTAGTAGTAATTAACACTTCACATCTTCAATAGTAGTTTATTCTTGCAATTATAGGAAAACGCTTGACTTCATTTTTATAATTGATATAAAATATGATGATCAACTTTTCTGCTTTCGTCTTTTGTATTTATAGGTACAGAGTTAATAAATATAAATTACTGATATGTTTTATAAAAATATTTTACCGATCGTTGCAGCAAAGTTTATCTAAAATATTTTCCTCAACTTTTCCCAACTTTTTTTATCGTTTCCCTTCAAAGTTCAAAAAGCTTTAAAAAATTCCATTCCTTGTTGATAAAAGAATCTAAATGTTCGAAAAGCGAAATCGCTCTAAATCACTCCACCGTCTTTCGGCGTTAATTAAAGAGGCGAAAAAGGTTCTTAGGCAAAAAAAATCTTGGGAAAGAATTAAGAATAATGCTTTACAAAAAAAATACACATTACAGGAAAAAAAGTTTGGCGCTTAGCGGTTGGGAAGAAGATTCATAGGAATTATATTACAGATAAAAGATAATTAGATGAAATTTTAAATATGCATTAACATATATTGGTGATGTTTTGTGGAAAATTTGAGATTTTATTTGCGATCCGTTTACGAGCTATTTGTGGTCAATCGAATGATGCTTTATTACTTGTGTATAAAAAATTGCAATACCCTTATTTTTTGAATATATTATTGTTACTCGTCTTGGGTTTGAGATAACAATACGAAATTTTCTGTACATAAACTAGATAAACTAGTGATCATTTTGTGTAATTATCAACTTTTAATTTTAACCCGTTCATGAGTTATTAATATCTAACTTAATAAGGTCCTGAACTATTTTCGTTTCAATTTGTTCTTCGTATAAAATTTTGGTGTATGTTTTGCAGAAA